GAATGCATGACTAGTATGAGCAACTGAAAAAATTGCCATAGCTGGAAAATTAACTATGAATTACAGTTATCCAAATATTATAAGTAAACAAAATGACAGTTCTTCGAGCATGATAAACACTAACCAAGTGATGTGACGAAATGTTTATGAGCATCCAGTGTTTTGACGCAACGTTGCTGAGCAATTGCCCATACACGTAATGTTTTATCGTCACCAACAGAGAGCAAATATTTACCACCAGGATGAAATCTCAGTCCACGAACCCAATTATCGTGACCAACCTGCAAAACAGTTCTTAAATCAGCTCCCGAAATATTCATGTGGAGGTACCGGAGCTGTTCAGAGTAGCCTAACAGCAACCTAAGAAACCTAAGCAACCTGTACCAATAATTGTCACTTTTGCGCGCTAATCAGTGTTGTGCCAAAGAAGATGGTATTTTCCAATCTGGCTTGGATGGCAAAATAATTAAAGCGGGAAGGCGGGGGAGAGGAAAATGGGCGGGGTGGGGGGGAGGAGGGGAGGTTCCATTTTTTTTTACAGCAAATTCAGGTTCCATTTCTGTCCTCCATGAGTATTTCCGTGCTTTCTCCCTCCTCCTCCCCCCCCCCGTGCTATTTTCTCTTCACTTTTTATGAGTTATTACTCTAATCTTAGGGAAGCAATGCATTCCAACGACTAATAAGGTAATTTAAAGTTTCAAATTCAACAATTTAACATGAATGCTTACCAAAGTAAGCAAACATAATCCGGCATTAACATCAAAAAATTTGATTGTTTTGTCTCGAGAACCGGAGACAAGAATCGGACCTAGTTTCGTCGCTGTCATCGTCGTTGCCGAGCCATCACTCTTGCTTGCATCACCATTCATTTTTACTGAAATTAATCAAAAATTCCATGCATCCACAGTTTGTGTATTTAGAAAAAAAGAACCTCTCCCCTTGAAACGACATTTATTATAACCAAACATCGTATGACATCCACATATTCCCTGTTTCAGTAGGCTGTGAAAATTAATATTCAGACAACTCCAATCCCTTAAAAGTCAGTGAACAATCTAAGAGAAACAGCGATCTACCTGGCAAATGAGAGCTATTTTCAGCTGCAGCAATATGGCGCAGGGCATTATCCGGTGCCCACTGAACACATTCAACAACGTGCTCATGCTCATGCAACTGCATCTTGCAGTCCTTCGACGATGTGTTCCATATACAAATTGTCTGAAAAAAAAAAGTGAAGCACTGATAAAACAATTAAAATATGCACTGGACATTGTGGATGAGGGAAGCTCAAGGCCGTGGTTGGTAGAAAAGCTAAGATCCTGACTACAAATTAACAGCTATTCCACATATAAGCCGCGCAGCTCTTCTCGTTCCCGAGATAATAATTTTTCCCACCAAAACTCTCGCAGGACCGTATGTGGGGTACCCTGCGGTAAGTGAATGCTCAATTTGAATTTGAGGGGTCGAAAGTGAGCAGGAGTTCCTTTCATACTGCGGAACGACAGTTCGAAAACTTTGCTGCTAAGACAACCAACCCCTCAACGATTTATTCATTTGTTTTATTGATAAATTGGTACTTGCGCATGAAAATAAGTCGAAATTATCATTAGTTTTTTGTAAGCAGCTTTGAGAAACCGTACTAGTTAGTGATTGCTTTCGGCAAGCACTATCACTCGAGTTACTGCCGAACAACTTTGCTCCCCAAAAAGAGTGCAAAGAGGGTTCTGAGTCTTGAAAGTGGTATTCTAAGCTTGCGTAAAATGAATGAAAAGATCTGGCTACCTATAAAATGAACCCGAATTTTCTCAATGTTCTTCCATTGCCGAATTTATTATTAAAGGACAAAAAAATTCCATCTTTTTCCAGGCAAAATGCGATTTGGCATGAAAAATTTACCTGATCGTTACTGCATGATGCAAATGTGGTACCATCATGATAGACGCGAACCATTCTCACCCATTTTGAATGACCAGCAAAATTTCGTATACAATAACCTGTTGCAACTTCCCACATTTTTATCAAACAGTCTCGTGATGCAGACAATAAGTGATCGCCTGCAACCATCAAAATTCCTTACAATTTGAAATAATTGGATTAACTACTAATACATATCGCTTTACTCCAATTATGCAACTGCTAAATTTTCCATTTGCTTTGACCAATGCTGCATTGCCGCTGT